ACCCTGAAGAACCTGCGACATGACAGCGAAACGTCGGCCTATCTGCCAACGAACGCGGGCGTCATCCGGACAGCCTAAGAAGTAGGTCACTACCCTGAAGAAGCCTGCCGACATGACAGGCGAAACGTCGGCCTATCTGCCAACAACGCGGCGTCACCTAACCTGGACAGCCTAGAAGTCAGGCACTACCTAAGAAAGCCTGCGACATGAACAGGCGAAACGTCGGCCTATCTGCCAAACGCGCGGCGTCACGCCGGACAGCCTAGAAGTCAGGTACTACCCTGAAGAAGCCTGCGACATGACAGAGCGAAACGTCGGCCTATCTGGCCAACGACGCGGCGTCACCCGGACAGTCATAGAAGTTAAAGTTTCGAGAGGGGTAACTTACTTAATGATAGGCACGTTCTTGGGCAGTTCCGTCTTGTCGTTCTTCTTGGCCATGGCGAAGTCGCGTGCGCGGGCGTGCGGGCGCGGTAGAGTAGCGGCGGGAGGGGAGAGGCGGGGTGAGAGAGGAGGAGAGAGGTGAGAGGGAGGACTGGGAGGAGGCGCTCTGCTCTTCCCTCGGGCAAGGCAACCTCTGCCGCCCCGCAACGCACGCCGCCCCCTCCTCAATTGTTTGGCCATTGTTGTTTCAAGAAAGATCATAAACAGTGAAATAGAAGTATAACGACTGGCTGAGGCTGCCTACACTCACCTTGGAACTTCGCTTGGCACTCTATAAAACGAGATGCAGGCCTGTGGCCGCCTACGCTGCGGCAACGTGGTGGACCACAGCACAGAAGTACAAGAATACACTTGAGCTAGTACAGAACAAAGTTATACGGCTCATAGCACGCCCTCCGTTTCGGAAACGGTTGAAAGTAGTGAGGAAAAAACATGATATCGAGTCCTTCACTCAATGCTTGAGACGGCTTTCGTTTAATGTAGTCTATCAAGCCTTTCAAATAAACGAAGATCCGGCTACTCTAAAAATATTAGCTAGATACGTCCTCACTATAGGACAAAGAAGACAAGCACTCCCCTATGATATTCTGAGGGCGTAGTGCAACACAAAAGCCGATTTGGTTATTGGCTTAAGGTCCGACGCGAACCCACACCAGCCACTTACACATAGCAGTAAAATGCGAAATGCGTGCAAACTGCATCACAAATACAAATACACAAACCTTCGGATAAGCCGAAAACAAAAAAGATCACAGCAGTAACTTCTGCCACATCAGCGTTTCTGATCGGGAGGTGCTAGATTTCGAGTTCAGACGTTGGCGGATTTTAGTCACTAGCAACTTAACTAGGTCGAATTCAACCAGTGTCTGGTGGAGAATTCTAGCGGCCGGCTGCTTTGGTCGGTATTTTCCGTGATTCGGTATTTTCCGAACTGTTCTGGGCAAATGTCGAAGCAACACCCTAGCAAACGGGTCTCAGACCGCGCGCGATCTTTCCTTCTTCTTCCTTGCCCAATTCTCCCGCTTACGTACACACACCCGTACGTGTACTACACTTTCTCACATGTCGGAAACCAGACGGGCTCTTACAGAATGTTTCGGGTGTGGCGATACCCCGCTGGGGGGAGATACCTAGAAGCGGAAGCATGGTAAGCCAACGTGGTCAGCGCCGTATTTCACGTTCCGACGGAGGAGGAATATCGTGACCACCCTCGATGTAACATGTCCAGCTCGTACGAAACTAAGAACTACAGCAGTTAGAGTGCCCAGAAAACAAATCAATCAATCAATCAATCAATTGCAAAATCTCCTAAACTAAGTCAGCTCAAATATAAGAATTTGGGCTAGGCTGCCCGCGGTGACACGCGTGCCACTTGCCTATTACTAAACTAGAACCGAAAGAGCCCGAGCGCCTCCCCTTCTCTTCCCTACCCTCTTCACTCACATGGGGTTGACTGACTCGACAGGCAGCTGTTCACACCCCTGGTCAAAAGATACGCGGCGCTCGGGTACACCAAGAGAGCATCCCACTCGCGCAGCTCTGACCTAAAGAACGAAATGTGAACGGATGGAACGCAAAAGCTTTACGGATCTTTCGCAAAGCAGACACGCGAAGAGAACAGACAATTCGCAGTATTGTTTACCTTTAATTTGCTGGCGGCAGAGTAAGGAATTCCTCTTCTTTACATTAAGTCACCGCTTTGTACTCTACACTAAAAAAATGCACGGAATACAAATCTAAAAATTATGTATCTGATATAAACATACAATAATGGTCTCGTTAGATAAAATTCCATCAGACAACTTTGTGAGCAAAAGTAATGCTTGCAAACTTATTTACACGCGTGTAATTAGAGAGAGTTAAGTTAGAAAATAGTTCTTTCGGAGAATATAGTTTCATTTGTTAATCCTTTATATTGAATCACTTCAAAAACTTTTCAAGTTTCTGTATTGAAAATAGATTTTTTTCTTTCTGATAAAGAAGAAAAATGAAATGTGTACAGGAAATTAATTATAGAAGAGACGATGTATTTGTAGGCTTCCGCGGCCGGAGTCATTGGATACTTTGCTGTTTGGGATGAGCCGCATTTCAGTCGATTCAGTGACGTTTCGCCCATCGTGTTGTGGCCTTCTTCAGTGCTATACTGCTGATAGCTCTGAAGAGGCGCGGCTAACCCTAGACGGCCAAGTATCCATTGAAGGGAAGAGTTTAAAGAAATTCAGTCCAATGCACGGTTGATTAAATGCAGTTCATGACTCCATGAATTATGTATTTGTTAAGTCACCCTGAAATTTATTTTTCAGGTTTCATTTGTATGACATGTTTGTATCATCGTAGAGGAAATATATTATGTTTTTCCCCTATGATATTGTTATTTTGATCCTTCACGAAGGGTTTCAATAGGATTGTATACAAGGGCTGGCGTGGTATGGTAGGAAGGGGCTGGGAATAGTTGAGGTGTGTTGGGGCGGGGCGGGGGGGGGGACGACACGGACGACTTAGGCTCCCGATTAGCGAGACCGCAGCAGGTGGGGCGAGGAGGACAAGGAGAGAAGAGGCGGGAGAGGAAGGTGGAGGGAGAGGGAGAAATGCAGGAGAAGGCGAGGAGGAAGGGAGGTAGGAGCGGGCTAAGAGATGAGGGGAGAGGAGAGTGGAAGGAAGAGGGGGAACGGGCCGAGGAGGGAGAGTGGGGCAAGGAGGGAGCTGGGCTAGGAGGATCGGGGCGAGAAGCGGAGAGGAGAGGCTCAGAGGAGAGGAGGCGAGGCGTATCGGGACGGGAGAGACAGAGGCGAGTACTACTTCAGCTAGTTAACACAAATAAATCGACCAGAGTAACAAAACAAAAACACTTTTATTATAAATTTAAACACAAAAACAATAAGAGCGGATCGCAACGCGACGAAGCGAGTGTAAAAAGGGGCGGGTGGGTTGCTCGGGGGTCAGGGGGCCGTGGCGCGTGGCGGCTAGTGGTGCTTGAGAACGGGGAAGTCGGCGTACCAGCCGAAGGCGCCGTGATGGCCGGTGTGTGCGCCGTAGTCCACATGGGGGCCGTGGGCGTGGTGGCCCTCATCTGTGGACAGAAACGCAGCGCTATTAGGTCACTGTTGGCAGGAAACAGGTCTACAAGGGATACGTCACAGCAAAATGACCCAGACGTGCAACGACCAGCTTTTAAAAGTTTTTTTGTAAAACTCAGTTAATTTTTAGTTAAACTGTACTGTTATGTCGACAAACGGGGATGCAAACAAATAGAGATGAAAAGGAGCTCATAACGGCCGATGTCCGTTAAGGTTACTGTTCGTTCCGAACAATCGAAACAAATGAATTGTAGCAAATGTTTATGAAAACTCGTATTCAAAGCAAAGATATTGCTTGATTATATGCACTTTGCTCATAAGGTGCTACTTTCGATAGTGACATGTGACCAATAACACAAATAAAGAATTCGGTTTGCTATACGGTTCACGGTTTGCTATACAGCTCGTAAACATCCACTAACTCTTCGATTTAAAAACGTCAATCGCGCGTCCGTTATTTTATCTTTACCAGTCTTATGATGTTAACAAATATATTAATATTTGGATTCGCAGCCTTTTAGACGCCACCCAGCGAGAAGGAATCCTACTTAGTCAACTTCAACGTTCGGTCTTGCGAACAGAGAGTGACACCCGAACTCTCTTGGGGTGCTTATTCTGCCGCGTAAATGATGAAGAGGGAATCGTTCCCAATACGTTTTTTACTACAACGTTCCATTTGCATGTTCATGTGTTTTCGTTAGACACCTCCAAACTTTCAAAATGCTCTTCAGAAATATTTTCTTAAAGACAGACGTTTGTGAAATCTAATAGAATTGGATTCGCATTTAAGCAGATTAAGCACATACTTATGGTTGAATAGGAGTCTCCGATAAATATTTTAGATCCTAAGAAGGTAAAAATGATTCTGTGATGACAGTGTAAAAAAGTCTATAAAAAAACATTTAACACGTTTAACCTGCGACCATAGAATTATTAATCTACAGAATCCCATTAACGATCAGGGCCCCCTTAAGAACAGGGTTATGAGTTGGCTTTATCTTATCATGAAATCAACTATTTTATTAACATTCAATAATAAAACTGTAAACGAAAGTTATTTTAAAATACACACTATGTGTATAATATTATAATGTAAATTTTTAATTTGTAAATTGTAAGATTATAGTTATAATTTTCAAATTGATTTAGGTTACATGTGTCCAATATTTCAATGTTAATGCCGAATTGTTAGCCAAATTGCTTCACTTCGTTCCGTGAAGTCACGAGAGTTACGCGTTAACTCGAGACACCAGAGATTAGTAGACTGGTGACCGTTTGGAGACCACCGGTTATTTAATGGCGCCGAGACCCTGGCCGACGAGATAAAAGGCATTTACTGACTGCCTCGCGACGAACAAAAACCTTCAAGCAGGATGACTCCGGGTAAGCGCGATGCCCAAGAAGAGGTACAAGTCGTGTTACGAAGACGCAACAATTAAAAAAAAATTAATGCGATGCGGGTGGGTGGTGATACTCACCGTGGTGATGGTGGTGGTGGGAGCGCTCGACGCGCGCCTGCGGGATGGGCACCTGCTGCGGGGCGCGGCGCGGGGCGCGCATGAGCGACGGCAAGGCGGGCTCCGCCTCGGGCGCCAGGGCGTCCACCTCCACCAGCGCCACGTCGTCCAGCGGGATGGCCAGGTAGCGGGGCCGCGCCTCGGCCTCCCGAGCCGCCGCCGCCAGGAGCAGCACCAGCGCCGCCACGGCCATCGTCACGCCTCCGCTCGTCCTCGCCGCCTGCGGGCGGGATTACGTTCGGGTGATTGATGAGGGGTTCGGGGCGCGTCAACTGCTAAGGTCATTAGTCCCTCAGTCTGGGGCATGTTTTTTTTTGTCGCGGGAGGTGACGGTGATCGGACCTCCACTGGATGGTGAGATCCGGTGTCGAGCCGATCCGACTGACCCGTCGGCTTGCGGAGGTTTTCCCAACCAGGTATCTCCCACCGGCGCGGCTCCACCCCACCCGCGATAAGCTCTAAGCTTCCGACGGGTCTCCCGATATGCGTAAGTTAGGGTTGGGAATACATGGAAGATGAAGGAACGACCGTGCGCGGTCCGTGGCCCGTTTGGTCGAACACTGCTCCGGCATTCGCCTGGTGTTTATCCGAGAAACCAAGGAAAACTACCGACCAGAGAAGCCAGCAGCTAGAATTCTCCTCCAGACAGCGGCTGGATACGATTTAGCTACATAGCTAGTGTCAGAAATCCTGCCACCGTTGGGAGTGGGACCCTAGGATCTCCCTGTCAGAGGCACTGTAGTGATATCCAATCAGATGATAAAAGTTTGGTTCATTATTTTCATGATTTTTTAAGTTTGTGTTAGCTAAATCTCAATCACAAATTAATGAGTACGACCATCTTGAAATGAAATCCCACGTGTACCCTATATTAGAGGTTGCTACAATAATATTAAAAAAATGTATGTTTAGAAATGTCGGTAGTTGTGGGTAAGTATTTGGAACATCGGTTTTTAAAATATGGACATCGATGACGAGGGGTCCATGTCGCATCCATTTCCCAGCTGGAACAAGCCCTCAGCTTCCAACTAGTCGTCAGACTTGTATAGTAGTTTAGGCCCCTGTAGTGAACGTAAACCTGAACATTCAAAACATACGAAGTAAGCGGGAACGTGTTGGAAACAACATCTTAATGTGTACGGTTGCAAGAGTCCCAAGAAAATAATACTTCAACTTATTTGTTGCACATGAAATCTTTGCTAGTACATATATATTTCGACAAAAGTCGAAAATTTGTTTCATTATTTGCTTTACTACTGAAGTAACTGTTTCCAATTACGTTAGCTGTAGTTACCCCTTTTCTTTGTAACAGCAAAGCATGCTTCTTTCGTGAGACGCAGCATTTAAAGTACGTGCGGGATTTTATCGACAAAGTTAGACAGCGAGCATTTCGTCACTGTCTAGTGCGGTATAGGCTTGTCCAAAAATATATACACATTTCTACAGTGTACATTTTGCAAACATCACTTATAAAATAATTAATTGTGAAGCCTGGAACAGTGAAGCCCGAGTACATTTCGTTATGAAATTCAGCGGAAATCTTCGAAATTTGGGAGAGTTTGAGTCTTTTATCTGCCGGCAAAATGTTATTTGTCCCTTCCAAAGACAAACATCACAAATGTGCTTCATTTATGATGACCACGCTAAAATGTACAAAATAAAGGAATCCGAATCGAGTGAATTGGAACAGAAAACTTTTTCAAAGAGCATTCTCAAGATTCATTCAGAAAGTGCTGCGTGAGGGCACGTGATCGTTTCACTCGCCGATTCATCACCTTTATTATGAATACGTGATTGATACATACGCGAATTGTATTGGCTGAGATTGAGCCTACTGACACGGAAACACTCAGTCCACAACTGTTAGAGGCCACACGTGTGTATAAGTTACATCACTTCCTCAGCTGGTAAAAAAAATGAAAACGATAGTTTTCGCCACGTCACCTCTGCTTCGTTTGCTTGTTTTTTTTAACGGTCACACCCAATTTTTTCCAGGTGAAGAACCCGTGATGCTGATTTGTTTCCCTCCTCGGAAGAACCCGCCGACTGCGAACGGTTCTGCTCCAGAGGATGGTCTCTGCCTCCGAGCCATGCTCTACGGAGTGGAACCAGAGATGCCGAGTCATATCGTGACAGACTGCTCTCAGACAGATGTGTCACTCTCGAGATTTCTCCGCGGTTTCATTTGTTCTCGTGAGTCAGTCAAAAGAGAGAGTTGAATGCTTTGAGATTCGCGGGGTCCTTCCAGAGAGCAAAGAAACGCTCTATGAGGACGTAAAAGGAAAAAAAATCATTATTATAGGAGTAATTTGAGATGCAAGAGAATGAGGAAAACAAGGTTTTATTCCCTTACTGGGTATGTAGGAGTGGGCTAACAAAATACTAGTGAAAGCGATGTAAAGTATTTAAAAAGTTATTTTCTTAGAAAATGATTATCAATATATATGTAAATTTAAAAAATTAAAACACACAATTTGGATTTATGAATCATCATACGACTAAAAAATTCCTTGCTCCATCATAATAAGGCTTGTGGGATTATGGCTAGCTCATTTGTCTTCCAGCGCTCGAGCCCAAGTTCTATCTCCGGTCAATCCACGTGGATTTTTTGGTGGGTAAAGTAAGCTATTAGCAGGTTTTGTTAAGGTTATTCGGTTCCTCACATTCCACCACTTGTCAGACAGTCAACTCATCATGGTCGCTATTTTCTACTCATTAGGTCATCATTCATGGACTTACGACGTCAGGAATTAGGCTCCTAAGGCCAAATAAATAATTTAATAATTTGCTATAAACTGCCAACCAAAGTCCTTGTTCACGAGTGAAGAAATTAAGTATTCGAGGCGACGTGTCTTTAGGAACGTAAGGTGTTAATACTAGCGAGTGAGTAATAGTTATGTATCTTACAATTCTAAAAGAGCTCATAATTAATAAATAGCATAAAATGATCTTTTAGCCACGTGTAATATACATTCTATCATATCCGACCGCCTTTTTTAATATTTAGACTTCTTTTCCGGCTTTATGTCTATACGATTACTGGTAATATGTCTTAGGTAGAGTACTTTACCATTTGGAATACAATCAAAAGCCATTTACAGCAGGGAGTTTTATAACATTGGATTTAACAATGAGCCGTTTAGTCTATTCCGAACACGTATATAAACAGAATATTTCATCAGTGATCATTACTTGAAAAGGAGAAAATTAAAACGTTTGGAGAGTGCACATTTTCTCAATCAAATCTTTTTTCATTATTTTGAGATTGCAAGATGTAACCATTTTCGTTTATGTCGTGAACTGTATTGACAGCAAAATTAATTCTCGGGATTAAATTAATATTTTCATTGTATGTGTGTATCCATAAGAAAATAAGTGGAAATTTATACATAAATATATTTGAGATGCCATTTCTGGCATCGTAGCAAAGAAACGAGAGTGAATGCGATGGCATTCTTTTACTTTCTCCCGTGTTTGGTCTAAGCACTCAATGGACACAAGCGGCAGTGTTGCCATCACAAGTCTGTCGTGAAAAACTACTGCTGTGTACTAACAGCAAAAAAAAAGTCGCTAAAATTTATACGTTTTTTACTATTTTTTCAATAATTGCAGGAGACAATGAAACAGTGCTGTATTCAGCTTTTGGTATAATAAAAGTTATTTACAGATTAATCACAAAATCTCAAGAAATCCCGTTTTCATTATCTAAAATTTTCTATTGCATTTCGGTAATTCACTTTACATAAACACACTACAAAGTATTGAATTTCATTATTTAATTATGGACTGTTTCAAAATATTGTTCTTGATATTGATCTTTCAAAGCACACATAAATTTTTGAAATAAATTTGTAAGAAACAAACCTAGTAATTAATACATTCCTTTTGATATTATTAATTTAAAAAAAATGAATTGTAAAGGCTTTTCTAATGTTTCCTGCCCGAAACAACCAGTATTCACCAAAATACTCTTTGGAAAATTGAAGATATTCTCTGTTCATTACTTGAAGAGAGAATATATCTCCATGCATTTCTAACACATATTATACGTTCTTTATACTTTGGTAATTCTGAACTAAAAGATGAAAAAGTTACAATTTGATATTTTCAACCATAAAATTATTTGCTAAATTCGTCATTTCATGAATTAAAAATGTTTATCACTCGACAGTCTGCATTAAATACTAGTAAAATATTAAAATTCAAAACAACCTCCTTTTATGAATTCTAGTCCAGGCGGTTTTCTCGTCGGCAACTCTCGATAGGAGGTTTTCGGTTGCCAAAAACTAATCCACAAAAAATAATTTATTTACTCTATAGAAAGAAGTCCATTTGGCATTAGTATAATATTCCCAGGAGAGTAAATACTACTCAATCAATGCAAATCTGCAGATTTTTAACTTCGATCCCTCAACTCTCAATCGATTTGGCAGATGTTAGACTGAAAAACAGCTTATCCCCCCAATAAAAGATCTACACTAATTGACACTCATATACCGGGAGAGTTAATACTAACCAAGCCTTCAAATAAAATACTCGCACCCATATTTTGTGATCTAAACTAGACGATTTCTTCTGCGTAAGTTACGGTGCGAAATTTTCGTCTGCCAGAAACTAATCCATTTACTCATTAATTCTCCGTACCAGAAGACGATCACTTACCATAAGCTTTGCCATGTTGTTCTGTGGAACGGGTAGAGAGCTGTACTGTCTCACTTCGTCAAGGGAGGCACTTTATAAGGCAGCCGCATAGCTTTCTCTGCCCGAGAAGAACTTGCCGCCTAAAGGGAACCAGGGCGAGTTTTTCCACCCTGAGGGGCTGTCGGCGACTGTCTCCACGGGAGATCGCCGCGGTTTTACGCTGTGTTCATCCACCGTGACACATTGACACCGTTTGCCTCCGATCTCAGGAAGCGGTCCACACCATAACCGCCACGAAAAAAATCGAACAAAAAGCAATCAAGTTCACTTTTCATGAGGTTCGCGGTGAAATGGTATTGCATTCGGAAGGAACAAGTTTCGCTTTCGTCTATTTCTTGTTTCCTTTCGCTAAAGGAGTCTGGAGGCTGAAATCGCAGTGCGTGTTGATGACTCCGTTGTTTCGGAGAAAGCGCTGCAAGTGCTAATTAATTTCGATGCGCTGCAGTGGCGCTACTGGGTCGCGAACAAATGCGCAGCGGTTTGTGATGCGCGCCCACACGTGCTCGCACGGCTCTGCAACGGATATTCGTTTCTACTTTGGCCGGCATTAGAGGGTTCTGGCCAGAAAATATTGTAAGTTTTGTTCATGTTGCACACTTGGCGCCGTGCAGTGTGGACTACGAGGTGCATTGTGCTGATATGGATGCTTGAACGCGATTTTATTTATTAATTTTGTGACGAAATAGTATTTGTTTACCGAACACTCCAAACAATGCTTTGTATCAAGAAACTACCTTCTTACTCAATTAATAGGTTTTTGTTTATATTGCAACGCCGACATAAAAGTAAAAAGGAACATTGGGTGAGTGAAGCGTTAGAAGTTCCTACGCGTTTTCTATTTGTTTAAATAAAGTTAATTGATAACTAATGTGAAACGTTTTAGGCAGTAGAAAGGAGGAAGACGACGCCAAGTATGAAAGCTCTGGAACATTTTGACGATTTCTACCGAAAGGTGTTTGGGTCACAATGGCCGTCAGTTAGGTTGGCTTTGTTGTCGCCTCATAAATATTGTGCAGTTGTTAATAATTTTGGCGATACAGAACAAACCGTGACTTACTTTCAGGTTAGTAAATTATTGCATTTTGTGCATTTTTTTTTAATTGACATGTTTGTGTGAAGGGAGAGTAGGGTGGACAATATGCGTGTGTTTTTCTGGAGCTCGAGAGTCCCCAATTTCTCTTGACCAATTCATTGTTGAATGTGAATAAAAGTAGTAAATTTGATCTCCAGAAATGTTTGCTCTTAAGTACTAGAAACTACTTACATTTGCAAACAAGCTCTAAATTTGATTAGATGGTACAACAAAAAGTAATTAAATCTACCCATCCCACTCTGTTCTATCAATTGAAATAGCCAAGTATGCCATATATATAATTGCAATATATATATATATATATATATATATATATATATATATATATATATATATATATATATATATAAAAATTGCAATTTTTGAAATTCCAGCAAACTTGCAATTCTAATTTTTTACAACCCTTTACAACTATATTTTAGAAATAAGAGATTTCCCCCCTCTTTCTCTCTCTCCTTTTTTTATAAGTAGTGAGACAATACATGAATTCAATTGCAGAAGTGCCATTTTCATTTCAGATTAGAATTTAAAAAAAATTAAAAATATGAACTTTTGGCATGGTTTTTTGAAGTTTTTTTAAAGAGAAAGGTAAAGTGTTAGTAGGAAAGAAGTTGCAATATTATAATATTTAGTAACCATTACTGAATATCTTAATGCATCTGTAGTTTTCTGATGTGAAGAGTTAACATAATGCATCAACACCTCATTGTGATCAATAATTTTGTTAGCCTGTACTCGTGCAAGTTAAGTATAACAAGTGCTGCTTCAGAAACAATTGAACCCCTCAGTGTGTGAACCAAATAAGTACCAAAAGTTATATTTTGAGAAAAAATTGAGAAAAAGTTTGACTTTTCTTCAAATATGAAATTTATCACATTTACTTACGTGAGAGGAAGGAAGGGAAAAATTTGAACATTTTCTCACATTTGAAATGCAATAGCTTCAGTAGAGATTTGTAATAATTAGATAAATACGGTTTGGTATCGGTCCTTGCAAAATATCTACAATTGGTTGTAGCAAGAATAATTGGATATAAATTATTGATTTCCATGGTTTTTATTGATAAATACCTACAAATATTTTAAAGTTATAATATGCAACAAATGAAGTTTATTGAAGAAATTTTTGATTGTATTAATTTTATTCACCAAAAAAATTTAGTCATTGTAAGACGCTTCATTGTCTGTTTCAGATTCCTCTTTTAGGTAATAGTCACTGTGCACAGGCGAAATGTACTTTTGGGACAGTTTCATAGCATCATTGTACTTCTTAGAGTTAATTAGAAACGCTTCAATGTTTGCTTTGGGTGCATTCAACTGAGGGAGGTTCTGTTGTGTGTTAAATATTCAAAATTTGGAGTTGATAAAACTGTTATGCTCAGTAGAATCAGGCACATCTCTTCCTTCATAAATGAAGTTTCAATATCTACTAATTATGAAAGACTCGGTTGTCAATATTCGTTATGAAGAATGGTTATCAGTGTAGGTGGTATTAGTAAGTTAATACTGACACTTGTTAAGAGTGAACATTTCTGAGAAGTTGATGCTACTATGTCTTAGCTTTATTTTGGGCAAAGACTTACTCCCTTTTCCTGCTATTATCTGGCACTCGGAGAGTAGAAAATGGAATTTCATGGACATTTTGTGAGAAGGTTATGAACTTATTGGTGAAAAAGACTCTACTAATAGAGGATGACAGGCTTAATCTGTATGCGAAAATCTCATTTTGTGGTTATTATGTGGTTCTTGCACTCAGATCTTCAATTGGATGCCATTAATACATTCCTCTAGTTAATATTAAGCATTCACAATCATTTGCAGTCATGAAAAGTGAACCATACTTGAAAGTTGCCCAGATGTGATGCATAATTTCCTTTGATTATTAACATTATGAACTCAGAAATAAATACACATATTTCCCTTCTTTTATTTTTCAGAATCAGGGAGCTTTAGATCTCAAGACTCACTTAGACTTGGGAAGAAAATTGGCAGATAAAAATTTGATTAGAGAAGATGATGATTTTCCTGATGCTCAGAAACTAGATGAAAGAATTAAAAAGTTGGCATTCTCAAAACAGCAGCAAGAGGCAGAGGAAATGTATCCTCCTACGGAAGAAGGTGTGCAGCTGGCTCAGCATCAATCTGCAAGCAACAAGGAGGAAGAAGTGATGCAACGTGCTGATTTTAATGCTAAAGATTTCTCACTTGAAGCTAGTAAAAAACTGTCTCAAATTGATGAAAGCCGAAATGTTAGTCCTGTTCTTGGATTATCAGCTGGTGCGTTGTATGAGTTTATTCCTGCTACTAAGCTGAAAGGTTTGGAAGATAGAGTGCTGGATTCAGAGCATTACAGTTATTATTCTGGAGACACAGATTTTCCTTTGACTGTCAAAAAGGAATTTGATTTAAATTATCCAGATCATTTAAAAGTATTTATGTATGAAAGAGGAAATGTTACATCATTTGAATCACCAAAACGAGGTTCAACAGGTGTCTTTAGTAAGTAATGCCTTCATTTATTATTTTTTTAAAATTTTTTTAACATAAACAAAAGAGGTTGCTATTACAAGAGTCACTCACAAGCTTTTGAGAATACTATTAAAAAATAGAGATAACAAGTTATTACTGTTACATCATGTCGAAGTATGCTTGTGGTATCATCACTGATCATGATCATCAAAAAGAAGAAAAACTTTTATTTTAAGTGATATATAATGCAATAGTTGGCATTTGTATTGTACAATTTTTCAAAATGACTTCATATGCCTCTGGCAAGTAATGTACTTAAGTTTCGAGGTCAGTGACCCCATCTCAAACACGTTTTTGTCCAGTTTCCTTGATCCACTGAGCAAATGCTGATATGACCCCTTGTTTTGCTTCTGGACATAAATGTAGCTTCACTATGTGCAAGTTTTGTTGAGCTTTCCTTGTAGTGGTAGGAGTAGAGCCAAGGGTGTGTTACTATTTTGTTAGCAATGCAAAACATGAAATCTGCAAATTGTTTACCGAAGCAAATAGTTTTCTGTAGCAAAGGAAAGAAACAATTTTTTTCAAATTTTGGTATTTTCACCCTTTTTAATTTAATTTACTATTATTGTTATTATTATTATTATTATTATTATTATTATTATTATTATTATTTATTTTTGTTGATTTTTTTAAAAGAATAATTGCTTTCATCTTTGAACTGTTTGAAATTAAAACGTTAGGAAAGGATTCTGGAGCTCAAGAAAAAGTGCACAGATGGTATCTTTCCCCCCTTCTGCCACAGATTTTAATGTTCTTTCACCAAATACATCAAATCACATTCTGTCCAAGATCCCATTTCATAAAACCATTTTTGAAATGCATATCACCACACTTTTGAGACGTGCAAACTTGATATTTGTATGGAAGCAGTGCAACTTGAGTAGATGCAAATCAATAACCTTTTCGGTTTTTTAAACAGTAGGGTAAAGAATGTATAGAGTCATACTGGGTCAGGATTGGACTGAAGGGAGGATGCGACAGTTCCCTCTTTTACACTTTTCAGGAGACCGATGAAAAAAAGTGTAAAATGCAGGAAAGTTGAATAATGATAGCCTAGGCGAGTACTTTCTCTATGTACTGCAATGATTACTCTGTTTAACTTTCTCGCCCTTTGTAAAAAAAAGTATAAGCACGGGCCGGAATCGGCGATTTTCGTCAGAAAAATATCCTATTGACGTGCCCTGGTAATGAAAAAGTGGATAAATCATATTCCTATATATAGTAAATTACTTCCTCGAAGACGTGATGTAGCCTGTATCCCTGTTTTATGGGTCCTTGAAATAGCAAAATCTATTGACGGCGGTTTTTTTTCTTTTTTCTTTTTCTCTTTTTTTTCCTTTTTTTCCCTGCTGAAAACGTCTGTTTGCCCGTCTGTGGTCAACGCGAGCGCCTAAACCGCCTGCCGATTTTCTCCAAAATTGATATTCCTCGATTGATTTGAACGAACGCGAGACTTTTGCGATTTCGTTCTATACACATGTCCCACATACACAAATGTCCCACATACTGGAACAGGATGTATCCACTTTTTCAGTATCAGTACGAGTTTTTCCTGTCGAAAAATCGCTGTTTTTGCCGCAGCATTACATAACTTTCTCATCACCAGGTATAAAACGTACGTATACGAGAAAGTAAAAAAATAAAATCAAATAAATTTTAAATAAAGACGTAAAAGGCGGGAAGCAATCTTCATATCAAGTTGTAAATGGCGGGAAGAGAATGCATTGTAAATTAGGCTTTTCAACGGGACCAACGAAAAATTACGTAAAATGCGGGAACGTAAAAACGGGGTTTTACTGTAACTCTTGATTCTGTCAAATTCAGTTGTTTCTCTTGTCATGTGGAATGAGGCTTTGTTGTGGAATGAGGATTTCACGCAAGCCTGATTTTGGATGGTTCTTAGCTCTTGAAACAATGA